CCCCAAAACCCCAAAACCCCAAAACCCCAAAACCCCAATCTTTCATAAAGTATCATAAATATTATATTCAAATATGAGTTCCAATCTGCCACCTCCAAAAACCATCAAGACACCGAAAATGCACTTGGCTCCTTCTCTGACTCACAATCCTAGTCGTAGGACCTCCTGCTATGGTAAGCTGCTTCATAATTCCAGTAGAAAGTGAAGATTCTTACCCTGTAATCCTGAAAGGAAAGACTCAGTATCATCCGAAGAGCTTGCATGCTTTGTTCAAATCAAAATTGAAGGAGTTGAAGCCAGCTCTGAAAAACCAGGATGATGAAGACAAGCTCTTATACTCCCTTGAGAGGCTATGCAAATAACTTCCTTGTTATCCTACTAAAGGAGAAGCCAAGTAAAATTGAAATGCAGACTATGAACATTCATAACTTTGGCAAGTCAGTTGAAGAAATTTATCTCACAGCTTTACCTTAACAAGAGCAAAATAGATGGGACATTAAACAAACTCCTTGAATTCAGCATTCAAATAGATACTGAGCAATACGGTAATGATTTCTCGAATACAAAAGATGTCAGGGGTGTGAAAAGAAATCAAACTCGTCATGATAAAAGTCACCATGAGTATAATATAAATGAACTCAAGGTGGCTGAAGTACATGATCATCATCATAAATACAAGAATTCCAATAATATGCAGATCCGGTCAAGCAGATCATACAGGTCAAGTCGTAGGGGCAGCGTCAGCAACATGACATCATCCATGATCCAAGGAAAAGGTATGCCTTCAAAGGTCATTTATAGCTAAAGCTGGCAAGACTTCAGCACTAAACTGGGATGAATACAGGTAAATTCAAGTATAAAATTCTTAGCAGTTCCAGTGAATCTGACCAATCGTACAATGAAGAAAGATCTTTGAGTCAAGCCCAAAGGAAGAAGATGAAGAACCTCCTAAAGGAGAATGTGAGTATTCTCAAAGCGAACGAGACTGTCAAGCATGTTGAGAAGCAGCTGCGCCATTTCTATCATAAATGTCTTGAACAAACAGCTGTAGCCAATAAAATGAGATACAATTATTTCAAAGAGCTCGTGTCACTGAGAGAGATGATTTATCGTAAAAACAAATAGCTACCCGGATAGCTTCGAATTCCTCAGCATCGAATTTTTCAGTGCAACTGACATAGTAGATTCGAAAACAAGAGAAATTCTTAATGCAAAATGTGAGGATATGAAGAAAATGTTCAATGAACGTATGTATGAGCTATACAAGACCAATGAGTGTCTCAACAAGCAAATTCATATGTTCAATGAGATCGAGAAAACAGGAAATATTGGCATAAAATTCACTGAAATGAACTGTGATGACATCATTCGCAAGCTCCAGATCGTTGAGACAGACCCAACTGTGATCTGGAAATGTCTCACAAAATACTATGGCTATGGTTTCTTTAACGTCATGATCGAGAAAGAGTTTGGAGTCAATCCAGATACTTACCAGGAGATAAGTACAAGTTTCTATGGAGAAATTTCAAACTTCAAACATGAAATCACAGAAAAATTGAATTCGATAGACCAACGAGTAAGTATCAGCCTGTATATAATCTCTCTAGAGCATTAAGAAGTATAAGTACCTTAAGGACTCTTTCTCTGACTATGAACAGCAAATAAACCTCCTAAAGGAAGAACACGAAGCAGAGTTGAAGGAATACCGTCAGAATATGGACAAAATCCTTCAAGACGCTGTTAAGAAAATAGATGAAAAATACTTCCAAAGATACGACGGTGAAAAGCAAGAGCTCTATGAGATAATCAGGATGAACAAAATTGAACTTGCCAGGGCCAAAGGTCGTCTTGACGACGAGCATGCCTATTCTAACCATCTCTCAATGTTCGAAGAAGGTGCGAATGGGATCACCTTCATTGAAGACCCAGAGGATGACAAGGACAGGCTCATCAACAAACTCCACAATGAGATTCATCTTCTAACAAAGGAATTCAGAGAAGTTGTGGAGAAATATGAGAACTATAAGTATTTGTCCATCAAAGCTGACCAAGACAGGCATACTCTGGTAAAAAGAGCTGAAAATTATGCCTCTAAATACACAGATCTCCAGAAAACATTTGCTAATTTTAGGCAAGGCTCTAAAGACTTTGAAAAAGATCTTGCTATTCTAAACAAAGCATACCAAGCTTCTGCTGTGTTTGCTGAAAGCTTAGAAGAGGAGGTTCATACTCTTCGGAGCCAATTCTCCCTTTTGGAGGGTATGATTCCAGAGAAAATACTGGATTCATTTAAGAAGGAGAGCCCTCTATTCTTCATGACTAAGAAAACAAATACCTCCAGGCATTCTATCAATAAAAAGGCTGTTGAAATAATGAATAAGATGTATAAAGATTCATACAAATCCGTAAAAGTTGAGACAGAAATCTGTGGGCTTCATCAGGAGATTCAGGTTGTCAAAGAAAATATGGACGGTAAGCATGCTCATTTCCACCCAGATTAAGTCGATTCTACTCTCCTTGGTTCATGATAGTATCTTTGAAGAACTAACTAGAGCTTTGAAGTTTGTATGAGATAACACTGTTAGAAAGAAATAACTCTTTAAATATAGTGAAAATCCCACAGTTTGAAATTGGTATTCAAACAGATAATCAAAATCAGAAATCGACTAAGACTCAAACAATACTTGCTACAAAGGAGATCGCTAATTTAGAGGCAGAAAACCAAAACTTGAAGGAAGAGATCATCCAAGCAGCCACTAAAGTTCAAATCGAAAAAGAAAACGAGAAAGTCACAGAACTCAATAATCTCAAGAGGAAATCCACCAAGAAGATCTCACGTCGAGCATCTTCTAATCATCCTGAATCACAAGCCAAGCAAGAAAGTTCTAAAGAGTATGAAGATGCTTCTGAATCAGAGGCTGAAAATGAGAGAGAAGAATCCTCAGAGGACCTTGAAGCTCTAGATAAGGTCTTCCTCACTCAAGACAGACTTTCCAAACAAAGCAGTGTCTCTCGGAGTACGAAATCTAAGAGATTTATCAAAGGAAACGCAGCTGCTTCAAGGAATTCTCGGTCAGGACTTATGTCCAAGCAGAGTTCAAGCTACGGGAGGAAGCCTAACTACACATACTGCAAAGACTGCAAAAGAAGAAGGGTAAACAAAGAGTCAACCAAGAGTCCTGAACAGAGAAGGAAATCGTACCAACAAAAAGCCGATGTGAAGAAGATCAGCTCAACCAAAATAATTCATAGTGAAATCAGGATGATTAATACTCCTGTTGATAGAAGTTTCGAAAATGATTTCCAAGGCGAAGCCAAACCAGATGTCAAGTCTTCTAGCCACAGTGAGGAGTCTAAATACAGCTGGAAATATGGTAAGACTGCCCACTAATTATAGACGATGATGTTTATGAGCACTATGAATTCGAAATGGATCACTATAAACAAAACCCCAAAACTTTGGTCAACGATATCTTCTCCAAAATTGATTTGTTCAAAGACATAAAAGAAGACCTCAGTCTAAGGAATTCTAGTCATCTCTCACAATATTTACAGGCTAAAGTCAGTAAGATAGATAGGAGCTATCTGGAGCTTCTTTGAGGGATGCTTTTTGAAGATATTCAAAACAAAGATCAGGTTATAAATATGATCTCCATGAAGCAACCTCAACAGAAAATCAGCAAGAAAGTTTACAAAACAGTGATTCAGCCAAGATACAACATAATCCCTTTCAATTTAAAGTGCATGGAAAATCTCTTGAACAGGAATTACAGCCAAGAAAGTCGGAAGAACAGGGATGGTTCTCCCTCTTTCTCTAAATCAGTCTCGACCCAAACAGGAGTCGACGAAGGGGTTTCTAAAATCGCCATTTCCATTGCTCAAAATAGCTCTTTGGATGAAATCAAATAGAAGAAGTAAATTCTAACTGCTAAATTCCATAGTTCAGAAAGGAAAAATGGTTAAGGGCATCAATAAACATGAGTTTAATCCCAAGGAAATCAGAGACTTCAACTATGACAGTGTTCAAAACAGAGACTTGATCAACCATAGTGTTAATTCTCTGTATCAGTCAGATTCAAAGGTGAAGGTTTGCCCTGAGATTTCAGTAAACACCAAGACAAGTCTAAATTATTACCCTCAAGCGAGTAATTCTCAGGGAAGAGAGCATATAGTCTTCCCAATCCAACTGTAAGAGGCTATCTTACCCATATAGGGATGATTCAAAGCAAGATGTGTACAATACAAGTACTGATAACATGATTATGACAGGGCATGGCTTCACTAGCACATATACTCCTTTCCGTAATGAATCAAAGTGCTCAAAGGACAATGATCCTTACTCAATAAACTACAAAGTAAGAAACCGCAATATGAGCCATCACTCTCGGAAGAAGAATTCTATAATACAGAATATGGCGATTTTAGACTCAAAGAGCAGATCTGATATAACTTCATCCCACAGACGCACAAATGATGAAGCCAAAGCATCTAAACTTAAGACCACTAACTGGCTATTCTCCAAGACCAAGCCCAAAGTGACCACTGCGAAACCAGCTGATCGCAGAAAGCCTTACCAAAGCCACTACATGAGTAAGAGAAATTACATGCAAAGAACGATCAGTAGAGAGAAATAAGTCATCTCCCTCATTCAAGAGCTAGAGGGGAGGCAGCTCACTGGACTAAGCCAGGCTCTAGGTGTATTAGCCAAGGATGGGTTCCTAAAACGTCTGGTCTATTTCCCTAAAGTTTAGCATGAATATTAGAATTTAGATGATCCATGCGAGCCTCAATCTTAGATATCACCCTAGGGGTTTTGGGGTTTTGGGGTTTTGGGGTTTTGGGG